ACCTAGCTGGTAAGCCTTACAATTCTGTAACTATACTTATAAAAAATAAAATGCACATTAGTTCCTTTGGACATAAAAAGGAATTGGGAGTATAAGTTCTAAGGTGCTTGAAAATGCCCCTAAATTATCTTCCAAAACTAGACAAGTTCCTATAGTTTTCTAATTAAGCCTGTCCTTGCTCAAGCTCCTATATTCAAAAGTGTTCCAAAACAGTCTCTATTCAACTTAGCTTTACGTTTGGTTATTCATATTTGGTTGCCAGCAAAATGTTCTCTACTGGGATCATCAAAGAGAAGTATAGGGTAGCAGGACAAGAATATCTACTAAGTGGTAGAAGAAAATAGTAACAAATCTATTTACCTACTTATTTTTATCTCATCCTTTTTAATTTTTATTTAAGTATTTTTTGCTAATATTCAAAATATATTAGCATTCAGTACATATAATTTTGAAAATAAACTTTTTAAGGATGAATTCTCAGAACTATTTTTTAATTAGAATATGTGATGAACATTCTGGAACACAAATAAAAAATATACGTATGTGGAGAGAAGTCTGGAAGTTGAAATGAGAACTTTTTAAAAGTTTCTTGACGTTTTTCTACTAAAAGAATACTTTTTAAAATCTATCAATTCCTATAGATAAAAGCCTCTAAAACAATGACTATCAACTAGAAATAAAGAGCACCTGCAACTTGTAAAAACATGCAGATTCTTGAGTATTCCACCAGGAAATTCAGAGCCAACAATGCCAGTGGCCTTGAGGTTAGGATAGTATCTCAATAATCCTTGCATTGTGGGCCAGCTCATTCTTTGTTGCTAGGGGTTGTCCTGTCTGTGCATTGTGAGATGTTCAGCATTAACCCTGTCCTCTCCCCACCAGGTGCCAGGATCATGCACCCCGCAAAACCTGTCTCCAGTCTTTAACAATTGTCTCCTGAGATAGAAGTTGTCCAAACATGACACACTTTGAGAAAGCCACCCCTAATCAAAAGGATAAAATAATATGACAAAAAGTAGAAGAATAGAGACATTATAAGCTTACATTGGATCCAGTGAAATAAACAGGCTCCTCATAAAGGATATCTGATTAGCCACTATAAATTCCTGACAAGTCAGCTATGCTTCCAAGTCAAATCTCTTCTCATGTAATTTCAACTTGAAGATTTTCTCCCTAGCTTCTATTTTAAATTATTTTTAATTAACTTCACTGGCATTTTGCATCCTGCTATGAAAAGTCCGCTTAATAATCTCAGAGGACTCTCCCAGGAGAGAAGAGTGCATTAAATCACACATTATCACATTAAAGTATGTCCCAGCACTCCAACCCAACAGGCTTAAGTCCTGACAGATGCAATGAGGTGGGGGTGGGGCATGCCGGGATGGGAACAGGCTCAAGTGATTCACAGTTTCCAAACCCCATTATCTTTAATTCATCCATCTACTGGGAAAACTTATATTGATTCCCTGCTTCAACCACATTTATCACCGTGACATACAATACACTTTACAATTTGTGCTTCCACCCTGCGTTTCTAGTGACTGGGCGTGAGACCTTGGGCAAGTCACTTACATTCTCCAGGCATCCTTTCCAAAAAAAGGAGCCAGTTAAACTACATTATTTCTAAAGATCCTTCTAGTGACAAGTTGCAAATTTATGAATGAAGCACTTAATTAAAAGGCTCTTTTCAACGATATGGATTCTAATAACTATAGCACCAGTAAAACAACTACTTATATGTTCAGAGTTGATAGCAACACTAATTTTAAGATGCTTAATCCAAAACAATAACAATGTCAATTGGAAGAATCATGTGTATAAGATTCATTCTCTCTTAAAACAAAAATAAATTGAGCCCAAATTGTCCTTCACCCATCAAGATACTTACACAGGTATTTTGCATAAAGTGGCAAATCAAATTAGTTTTTCAGAAGTTAGTCACAAATAGAGAAGTAGTCTGAAAGTGTACCTTTACTTTTTATTCTCTGTAACAGAGATCACCAATCAGCTGCTTAGAGGCTGCTTCCAGCCTGCAGGAGTGTTTGTTTTGCTTGGCTTAGACAATAATTGTATTTAATTAGTTGGCAACTCTTAAAAGGGGAGATATGTTACACAAGAATCCATATTTCTGGTACTTGTGGAACAGTGAAAATTATTTTTTTAATTTATCTTTATTGTTGAAAGTATCACAGATGTCCTTCCCCGCCCCCATTGAGTCCTTCTAGCCCTCACCACCCTCTGCCCCAAGTGTCTGTGTCCATGAGTTATGCATATATGCAAATAAGTTATCTGGTTGATCTCTTCCCACCCACCTTCCCTCTGAGATTCTACAGTCTGTGCCATGCTTCTGTTTCTGGATCTATTTTGTTCATCAGTTTATTCTGTGCTTTAGATTCCACAGAGGATGAGATCATGTGACACCTGTCTTCCCCTGACTGGCTTATCGTGGGGGAAATATTAACCCAAATGACAAAGATGAGCGGGAGCTCTCCAGGGGCCCACAATCCCCACGGCTCGCTAACTTCTGATCCCCATCCTGGTTCCTTCTTACAGACTGGAGTATAAGAGCTTATGTCCTTGTTCTGTAACCATTTTCAAAAGTCACAAAAAATATTTTTAATCTTTTCAAAGCAACAGAATTTTGCTCGCAGAATCACAACAAAAGGGTAGACATTTTAAAGAGACAGAGCTATGCTCGCAATAAGGAAAACCTTCCTAATGATGCTATTGCTGAAGGAATTTCAGATGTCCCCTGTTTTTCCATGTAGAATGCACTACTCTATAGGTTTCTAACTAACCACCTAAAAGAATGGAGAAAGGAATTCTAGACTTGAGGGGGAGTTCAGACTGGAGAATCCCCTAAAATTACCTTCAACTTTACTGTTCTCTCTATCTTTGGTCAGTAGTATAGAGTTCATATGCATAGGTCATAATATCATATGTACTCATACCTCTATTTAACTTTGCAAAAGACATTGTATTTTATAAAACATTCAATTTTTCTCACTAATTTTAATATGTCATTTTAAAATTAATTTCAGTTAAGCAGCCTTGTCTTACCAGAGAATTATTAAGCTATTTTTCAGAAAAGATAAAAAATTGAAGGACATAAGGAAAAGAATTCAAGGAAGAGTTGAGTTGCCTGCTAGTAAGCCTTCACCACTGTGCTTCCCTGTTCAATCAACCTGGCCAGCCAGGGAAGCCTGTGTATTGCAGCTTTTTCTCTAACTACTCTCTTCAACATTTTTTTTCTTTCAATACACCTTAAATCTGCCTGAGACCCAGTATTTTAACAAGATCCTGATCATTTTATTTTTTTTTAAATCAACTTTACCTTCACTTACAACTGCATTGATACCTATTTAAAAGGATGCTGTGATTTGAAGTAAAACTACTTTAAAAAACAATTTTGTTGCTTAAGGTAAGCCAATTTTCGGGTAAAATCTAACCCAAGAGTTCCCACACTGATACTGTGTGTGTTGCATGAAGCCAAGATCAGTCTTCAGCCTATTCTGCATGCCTGCTTCTTCAAGTCAGATCATGTGACACCTTACAGCAGGATGTCTGCACAGTTAGATACAGTATCACTGTAAGGTCTTTTAGGTGATTTTAAAATGCCTGCCACTCAAGTTGGACATAGTAAACATCAAATAAGTCCCAAATCAATCGTTTTCCTGGTGTTTGATGCTGATTTTTGACATCAGGAAGCCTTAGTTAACAATAGTGATTAACAGCTGAACTGTGGACATAAAAAGCCCATCAATGAGTCTGACTGCAGGGGACCTGCCTGAGGGCAGGAGAAAGATGGTGTTGGCAAAGCAATGTGTCAAACAGGGGCTGCTTCTGGAAAACTGGCTTTTCATTCTAGTGCTCTCATTTTCTCATATTTTATCTGTTTAGAAAAAAACAAACACACATGACTTCCTGTTTAGAATCACACACACACACACAAAAAAAAATAACAATGATAAACATAATTCAATTTAACAGCCTGAAAGCCAGCACATTTTGACTCAGCCATGGATGTTTTCTGCTTTTACCTATTGAAGGTTCAGCATTCACTCACTTCTTTTCCAATATTTGCTGCCTTTCAAATAATATGCCAAAGACCCCACTCCATTTCTGTTGGTGAGGAGGGAGCTATCACATATACTTAAAATCAAGAGTATAAAGTAGGTTTTTGAGCTCTGGAAAGTCATGGAGTTCGTGTCAATATCAAAAGCCTTTAAATAAAAACCAGCCTAAGCTGAAAACATCTCAAGAGGAGTAAGCAAGGCCCTTGCTCTTTCACGGTCGCCTAAGAAAACCTGTTGCTACCTTCAAGAACAGCAGGACAACCTGGCTTGTTCACCAGCTCCTCGTGGAGGCTTCTCAGAAGCAAGAGCATTTGCTCAGACAGACTGTACATACAGTGTTGACGCTTCGAAAGAACACAGAGCACCTATGTCATTCCTGGAAAGTGTTTCTTTAAAGGACTATTTATTTTAAAGCAAAGTTATTGCAAATGTATGCATGAGCCATTCCCAAGCAGAATCGTGGGTTATACCCCCCAGGTGCAGAGCAGCCCCCCAGAAACAGCAAGGTGAGGGAGGAGGACGCATGCTGGGGCAGGGACGCGGGCAGGCCCGGAGCAGCTGAAGACGCGAACCCTGCAGACTCCCAGCGGAGAGCTGCTCCAGAGCTCGCACCTTCGAGGCCCCTCCATCCGCGCAGAAGCTCCAGAAAACAGCCATCAGGCTGTCCCATCCCGCCCGCAGCAGCCGCAGGAAGGGGGAGTGGAGGGGCCGGGATCCCGCCTTCTCAGCCTCTCACCCCGCGCGGGGCCGGGGCAGGGACCCGGGGGGACTCGCTCTGCGCCCCGAACACCGTGCAGAAGTTCACCACCCCAGCACCCCGTCCACACGTCCACACGCCCGTGCACACCCCGATCCACACAGGGGTGACCCCCGGGGAAAGCAGCCGCGGCGAGGAAGCCGGCAGCTCGCAGAGCGCGCACTCACCCTGGGCCGGGGCGCCAGCTTCGGCCCCCGGACGGGGCCCCGGACCCAGGGCTTCGCCGGCGTCGGACATGGGCCGCTCCCCGACGGCCCTGCTGGCCGCCCCGCCGGCTGCAGCTGGAGGAGAGGGAGCGGCTGGAGCCGAGCACACCCCCGGCACGTCCCCTCCCGGCCTCCACCCCTCCCTGCCCCCCAAACCCCACCCCGGGAAGTCCTGGTTTGAAAGCGGGGAGAGGCGCCGACCGCCCGCCCGCTGACGGCAGCGGAGTCTCAGGAAGTTGCTGGGGAGCCGGGGAGGGAGGGTGGTCCCCGGGGAAAGGGGCGGGTTGGGGAGAAGCTCCAGGGAACGGACGGAGCCCTCTCCTCCGGCCCCGGAGACCACCACCTACCTCGGCATCCTCCCACCCACGCCGCGGTCCAAGCCCGTTTCTCCTCCTCTTCCGCCCGGAAAAGTTAGCGCGGCCCCGGCCGCTGCGCCCCACGCCCCGCGCCCCGCGCCCCGGGCCGGACGGAGGGTCCGCCCGCCGCCCGCGCGCCCTCCCCGCCGGGCTGCGCCCCCGCGGCGCCCGCTCCCCTCCCGCAGCCGCGGGCCGGCCTCCCGCCCGCCGCCGCCCGCACTTCCTCGTCGGGCGCTCCTGTCATCACATCCGGAGGGACAGGGCGGCCAGGACGCCCGGCCCGCGGCCCGACCCGGCCCGCTCCGCGCTCCCTGCGCCCCGCTCCACCTGGGTTCGAGGCCGAAGCGGGGGACAGAGCAGGGGGCCTCCGCGGATGAGGGCCAGGGCGTCATCCACGGTCCCGGGCTGCCCTAGAGTGGTTCCCCCACCCTTTACCCCCCACACCCCACCCACCCATCCGAACCCAATATCCCAAGGACTCTCCCCAGCACAGCCCAGAACAGCTGGAATTGGGGGGAATGAAACTTCAGTGGAATAAAGTGTGGTTGTGTCACCTTGACCCCTAGCTGTACAATCCGAGTTACAGAGTTTCAGTGTGTAATCTCTGGATCTGTAACTCTGACATTCCCTCTATTCTGTTTTCCAGTTCTTTGTTTATTTGGGTCAAACTGGTTTCTGGATCCGGTCAAACCGGTTGCAGTTAGTTAGTTGCATGGATGCACTGGAGGCATCCAGGCCGCCAGGCGGAGGATGCCCGGCCCAGGCCAGCGGGACCCAGGCCAGCCGGGCCCAGGGCAGGTCCAGTGCCGCACTGCGCACTCCTGCGCGGCCAGAGGAGCTTGTGATGGGGAACAAACAGCAGATCAGCGCTCCGCTCAGAAAGGAAACTTTCTTGATTGTAGCTTGATCTGCTGAGACCAGAAAAGAATAAAGTAATTTGCAGATATAAAGTGTTTAAATAATACTTTATATCTGCAAATTAAATAATATAAAGTGTGTAAAATAGAATTGTGTAAAATGTGCAATTCATTTGTATAAAGCTAGACCTAAGTCATTATTTGAATTTCTAGGACAAGAGAGGAGACACTAACATTACCAAAAGTGAAGAAAATGTGCATTGGATGCATCTTTCTAGGTGTTTCATTAAATAGCCCAGTGATATCATTCCTTAGGAAAAGAAAAAAAAGAAAGAAATTGTAATTAATTCGAATTGAATGAGAAGAACCATCTTTTTTAACTTTGAAAGAGTCAGTGCAGCCAAACTTACTTTCAGTGAAATCTGAAAGACCCTGCCTGTGAAGGTTCTGAGGACAGTTGCTCAGAGGATACTCCTATAAGACTTGGGCATTTTGCCTAATGACCTGTAACAAACAAATGCCTTCTCATTATCTATTATTTGGAGATTTCAGAAGCAGTGTGTGTAAAAGTGCCTCCACTCTTCTGAAAACTTGTCTAGGAGCCTGGACTATTTGGAACCTGCTTGATGGGAGCAGAACGATTCCCAGGGTGAGCACTGCCCTTAATGGCTGGAGAATAAAAATGGAGGAAGCATCACTGTCTACAGCAGCCTCTCCTGCAGCAGGCAGAGTGGGCTAGAAAGCAGGGTCCCAGGTGTGTGTGTGTTTATCCCCTCACTAGGATGTTGTGGGATGGAAACAATTATCTTCTTCCTTTTCAAGTTCTTCTGACTGAGCTAATAACATTAACACGGGACAGGTTGATAAAATGAACACATTTATTACATATGACATATGGGGATTCCATACAATTATGAGGCCCAAGAACTCATTGGACAATGGAGGACTGTCTGCCCTTTTAGATGTAAGGAGAAGTTTGGGACCTCAAAGGGCAGGAAGGCGATTCATATGAAGATGGGAAAGCAGCAAGTGTTTGGTGAATAACTGTTTGCTGGACCATCTTTAATTTTTTTGACACAGCGGCAACGTCAATCAAACGGGCCTTGCTAGGTTCCTCTTTATCACACGGAGTTCATGTTAAGCTGCAGTTCACTACAATGATCGTGCCCTTCCTAAAGTAGGCCCTCTACCTGAATTATTTTAGGCAGTTAGGGGGAAGATGGAAAGTTCTTTCTGAGTCTTTTGTTTAGTAAAACAACCAACTTAAAATTATCAACATAAGTATTTTGGGGCGGCAACTCTGCTTCCCCCAGTGTTGGATATCAATAAGGTACAGCGCTCCTTAAGAAAATCATAGTTAGTAATAACTAATTGTTCCTTCAAATTCACACAGTAATTAAGGTGACACATGGTATAAATACCCCGTTTCCCCGAAAATAAGACATCCTCCAAAAATAAGACCTACTTATAGGTTTCCTTCTGAGTGAAATATAAGGCATCCCCTCGAAAATAAGCCCCCCCCCCCCCCCTAGGCTCTGTCTCAGAATGCTATTGCTAAACATGAGAGATTTGGTCCACTGATTCTGAAAGAAATGGAGTCACAAGAAATTCACCAGGACATTCAGGAATTGGATTGTTATGATGATGTTCCAGAAGATGATGACATAATTGTCATTGAATAAATGAGTAAATTCTTGATACTGTAGGATTCACAGTTTGTTTGGTTTGTGTTGACAATTACCGTACTACAGTACCATATACAGGTAATAAATTTCCTTTACTTTCATTTAACAATAAATGTGTACCGTATTCTTCTTCATGGAAAAATAAGACATCCCCTGAAAATAAGACCTAGCACATCTTTGGGAGCAAAACTTAATATAAGACACTGTCTTATTTTCAGGGAAAGAGTGTACTCTTTGAATTAAGTGTAAACATCTTAACCTTTAATGGGGAAGAAATAAATTCAAATAAAAGCATTAAGAACAAATGAGGATTGTGTGGTAGAATTATCAAGTAGTCAAATGTTGTATCTTGCTCTGCGGTGCAAATTTAACCAACTTCTCTATGTCTTGGTTGCCTAATTATTAAGTGAAAATGATAAAAGCCACTCTTCATCTGATCCCATTAGAACTAAATAAAATTATTATCTTATGTCATCTGGAAGAATATCAGATTTGAGGGAAGGGGCTGAAAGATATTGCTTATTTTACAGCAGAAGTGTTTTGATGGGTAATGTAGAACATGGCATAATGACTATTTCACAAGGACCACATTAAAATACCAGGTAACCATGTACTTTGCATAGATTATCCCCATTGGCCCTATCAGTAACTTGCCAGGATTGTAACTCTAGAATTTAGAGTTCAAGTCTGTCTGCCTGCAAGTCTATCCTACTTCATTAGGTAAACTCAGATCTCCTCTCTAGGAGGACTGAAAAGTCCATATGCTTGGTATCTGATACACCAGGAATTAAGTATGGACGCCTATGCTTAAAGTTCCCGTTTACTCCATCCCTTGCTATATTTGTTTAGTCTTTCTGACTAATCACTTAGCCTGGCTCCCAGTGAGCACCACAATGCCTTCATCCTCCCATTCTTTCATTAGACAAACATGTGTAAAAGTTGAGGGCCCTGTCAGGGGTGCTAGGGATGTAGTAGAAAAGATGATAATGTGTCCATTGCCCTCATGCACCTCACAGTCTAGAAGGAAATATGTGTGCAACCACTTACAGCAGTCACTGCACAGGATGCCAAGGGAAATAGTGGGGCCCTATGATAACACCTTGCGGAGAGATGTAGCCCCATCTAGGAACCAGGGAAATATCTCCACTGACACCAGACTGGCAAAGCGGAGAGAAGATGCTTCAGGCAGAGGAGCAGTGTGGGTAGAAGCCCAGAGTTTGGAGGGTAGCCTAGCATCTTCGAAGAACTGAAAGAAGGTGATTACCAGAAGAGGATAATCAAACACCAGGGGGAGAGTGATGGGGGCTGAAGTTGAAGAGAAGAGCATAGCAGAGAGGGATATTATCTTGTTTGAACAAGGAGGATATATTGTCCAAATTTCTATTTATAAAAGCCACTCTGGTATAATGTGTAAAATAATCTGGAGGTACAAGATCGGAGCTCGAGTGTTCAGTTAGGAGGCAAGAGGTGATACTGGCAAAGGGAACAGAGACAAGTAGACTGAGTAGAGGATGAGGGAGCTAGAGGACCGAGCATGATGTCCAGGTTTCTGCATCTAGGTGAATGGTGGTAATGCCACCGACAGAGATGGAAGCATTTGGGAGAATCAGGTTTTGGGGAAAGCTGCTGAGTTAATGATGTAGATGGTGTAGTGTGTCTGCATGACACCTCAGACACTATACCATCTCATAGGCTCCTGGACCAGTGTTGGCCTATGAGCACATGAATGGCACTTTACTAGCTAGAAGGCTATGGGTGTAGTGTAAGAGCCCAAGGGGAGTGTGTAGAATGAGAGCAGAAGACCTAACACACACCTGTTCCCTGAATCTCAAACCCAGTGTGTCCTTAGTGGCCCTTCTCCCTTTCTCCAAACTCCCCCCTACTTGATAATGCTGTTATCTTCCCATCTTTGAGAATTGCTGTTATTTAGTTACTATATTGCCAGTGTCCTACCCATCATCCCAGATGCCTCTGAGTATCACATGATGGTCTCTATTAAGCCAGATTTTGCCAGGGCTCATACTATAGCAATCTGGATGGGTAAAAACCTGGCATGGGGACCAGTCTTCCACAGAAGGCACTATCCCTGACTCAAAGCCTCCTGCCATGAAAGTCCCCATGTGCCTTACAGCC